TAACTGAAGAATTTCCCCACCAGTACAACTTATGGATGAACAAGTAATCTTCATTACAAGGAAGAAATGGAAATTCATGTTGAAAACTGACCATGCAAAGAAGAGTTGATGCAGGTACATTAAGAGTTCAATAACATAGGTTTACCGTATTAGGGGCCTCTAATCACATCAAACCCAATTATTCAAGCAGACATTAACAGTTCGAAATAATAAAAATTGAGTTCTTATAATCTCATAAGTATTCCATATCTTAAACATAACACCAGCATGATTTTGATTTAATGACATCAGAAGATGGTGCAAAATACTCACAACTGCGTCCACAAAATATTGAAGCACTGTCTTTAGGATCAATAATGTTGTACGTTCCAGCAATAATGTCCATAATCAAGCTGGCGAGCTGAGACATCAAAACCAGCGGATCAACCCCAGAATCCATCAACTCTCTTGCCCTTTTAACTGTTTCTGCGGTGTTTGAAGACATTGCTAGCGCTAAAAGCTCAAGCAACTTTTCATCAGAAACAATGCCAACCTATGAAAGAGGAAAACGAGTGATAAATATGAAGAACTATTATCAAAAAATAGAAAGAATCAAATCAAATCAAACCAGGTAACATGAAAGCGAAAGAAGAGGGACTGTGCTCACAAGTTCATTAACCAGAGATATTGTTATCCTTTTCCCTAACAAACTCAATTGTTCCAACATTGTTTCAGCATCTCTAAGTGAACCATCAGCATTCATAGCTATCAAATCCAATGCATCCAAATCAGCATCCAAGTTCTCCTCTGCAGAAATTCTTTTAAGTCTTTCTACCATGTCACAATCTTTTATTTTGTTAAATATGTACTTCTGACACCTTGACTGAATGGTACGGGGTACACTGTCAAGATCAGTAGTTATGAATATGAAGACAACACGTTGAGGAGGTTCTTCAAAGAATTTGAGAAATGTGAGCCACGCCTTAGAGGGCAACAAATGACACTCATCAATGAGAAAAACTTTATATCTCAAGAAGGCTGAAGATGGCCCGGATGATAACTTTTTTAATTGGTATCTAATTCTATCTACTCCCTTCCTATTTGTTCCATCAACTTCCAAGAGATCCTTTTGTTTGCCAGACATGAAATCAGTGCATTCTCTGCAGTATCCACATGGCTTATTTTCCTCCGGGGCCAAACAATTCAACGCAGCAGCAAAAATCCTTGCTGCTGTTGTTTTTCCAGTACCCCGTGGACCTTGGAAAAGATAAACAGGAGCAATCCGTCCCCTTGAAATAGCATTTATAAGTGATTGTACCACTATATTCTGACCTATCAGTTCATTAAAAAACATCGGTCTATACTTCTGGCTGAAACTTGTTGTACTTTCTGGTGTACTTCCCTCCTCTACCTCCCCATTTAAAGCAACAATCTCTAGCCCTTCATGACTCCTGCAACTTGACCATCTTCGTCCATCTAACCTACTCAGAGCCTCCAAATCAAGCTCCCCAAAGTTAGTAGACAGTTCATCATCGCTTCTCCCGGTTCCAATCGATGAACCAACTATGCCATCTGCACTGTTAGTAAGCAATGGGAGGACCCCTCGAGCACTTCCTGAAGTAAATCTTCGGTTACTGGAATTTAATGATTTGCGCCTAGAATAAATAGATTGACTACAAAACAAAATGCTACTTCCCTTCCTTCTCCAGGTATCAGAAAGTGAAGGAGAGCAACAACCTCCACAAACTCCTCTATGCTTTGGCGTCCTCTTTGACCAATAGCAAGGAATACCACATCCCTGACGACCAGGAAAATCTAATTGATCATCCACTTCATCATCTGCATCATTAATCGAAGTTGTGGTGCCTTCCCAAGACCCAACAGTACTTGGGTTGTTATTAACATACCTATTATAAGAACTAGTAGATAAAGCTGGGGTGCTATAAGAATAGGAAGAGTCCTCTTTTCGATGATTTCTCAATAACTTAGCAGATGGGTGGAGCTTCAATAGTAAAGGGGAAGCCGCAGAATATCGTCTGAAATCCTCTGAGTTAGAGTAATCTTCGGTGTCATCAGACTGCTCGATCGAATCATCCTGGCTGAAATTAATAGACAACGAAGGATGGCCCTCCAACAATTTCCTACCAAGAACAGGACCCTTTTGTTGATGTCTCAACAAAACATCCAAATGGGAACAATGCTTCTTACTCTTCTTTTTGAATGCAGAAGCCCGTTTGGCCAATGGTCTGCCATATGACACTAGATTTGCATCACCGCACCTGAAGACCATTGAAGAACAGAGATCTCCCAGGTAGGTGTCGCTCTTTGAGTCGCCTCCATTTCGTGCATCGCTCAAGCTATCATCAAGACTGAGCCCCGGAACTGAATAAGAATCATCATTAGTACCGTGGTTGCCATCACGGTCTTCCTTCTGATGGATAACACTCTTTTCGCTTGATGATTTATGGCTCTTCCAGTTGTAGAGGTATATCTTCTTGTCCTTGGGATTCCGATTTTCATATCGAGGAGGAACAATGGCGTCCAGTTGGGATTGGCCACTATGCCTCCTGGTCTCACTTTCCAAGTTCTTGTTCAAAGAAGAAGACGCTCCACCCGGCACCGCAGCCAATACAGATCTAGAAGAGCTAAGCGGAGACTTCCAAGACGAGGTAGTACCAGGATCCCGTAGAACACGAGCAGCCTTGCGGATTTGAGTAAGTTCCTTTTTCAAATGAAGCTTACTAGGATCAGAAACTCGAACTTCGGCCATTATCACTCAACTAGTAGAACTCGAAGCAAACACTCAAAGCACAGATTAGCTGCAGAACGAACTCGTAACCATTTACATTGGCATAATCACACACACATTTCCATTTCATCGATCAAACATGATAGCAAGTAGTAGAACAACAACAGAAGAAGAAGAAGAAGAAAACACAAAATGTTTACTTAGTCTCCATCATAGAATACGAAAACGATCAGTAACAAAAGTGGTTGAAAATAACAGAGATCTGAGAGACTCAGAGAGAAAGGAAAAAGAAAATGTAGAAGTGAGTTTTAGGGTTTTAAGTTGGCGCCTCAAAAATGAGCCTCGGAATACAAATTTGAGAGAATGATCCCAGAGAAATTGAAGAGATGGAAGATGGAAAACTGCCTCTAAACACGGCGGGCTTGATTGATTGATTGATTCTTCTCTCTCTGCAACAATGGCTTGATTATTGATTTTAGGCAAATTTTGAGTCAATAAAGAACTGCCCTTTCCCTGTTCTTCATTCATTGCAATCCGCCATTGATTTTATATTCATACAAAAAGGAGGAGGAGGAGAAACATTTTCAATTATTGATTTCACAAATTAAGATCCCTTTTTTACATTTTTTTCCCCTTTTTTTGGATTATTATAAATAAAAAAATGGTTTTTTTTTTTTAATTTGTACCTTCTACTGTTTTGAAAGTTGCATATTCAAAGTAATATTCTAAAAAGAAAACATTGATTTTATTTACTTCCTACTTTGCATGAAAAGCTACTTTATATGAAGTACGAAACTTAGGGATTGGAAAATAAAGGAAAATTAATTTCTCCAAAATAAGCAAATTGGCTCTTAATTAGGCTAAAATAGAGCCCATTCATCAAATGGAGATTTTTTGTAATAATATATTATTAATATAAGGGAGAATCATTTTCATTCCTTTAATAAATAACTTAATAAATAAAACATTTTCATTTCTAATTCTAATGTAATTAATACGCACATGCCTATAAGTTACAACTTATAGGTAACTATTTCATAACTGTATCAAATAATATTAATTATAATAACTAAAATAAGTTATTTATTATTTACCAATTTGGGTAAAGTTAAATAAATTATTAAAACTAAATTAAATTTAAGAGTGCAATTTTAGTGACTAAAATCATATTTTAGCCGACAAAAAAGTTGGAAGTGACGTCCAATAAATATAATATATTGAAAATTAGAAAGGCTACAAATAATTGTGGGATTAAATGAATGGTTTATAGTGACATTTTATTATTCTTATTATTCTTATTATTATTTTTATTATTATTAAAGGTTCTAAATCACTTATCTATTCATTCCCCTAAACCTGACAAAAGCAAGACTTATGTAGAGTGAATTATGAGTTATTTATGGGTCTCTCCTTGTCACTTCGATTGTTCAGGGAATTAGATTGATTGAGGGGTGAAGCTGCGAGATCGAGTGAAAGACGCAAGTGAGAGCTTCTAATTATGATGAATGCGCTAATTGTGAATATGATGCTAGGGCAATCCAATCATCCAGAGAAGAGTAAAGTGTGCATGCTAAGATAAAAAGGGAGAATCCTGTTCTAACCGGGCATTGCAGTCAGTTAGAGACAGCATGGGATAAAAGAGCATGCGATAGTTCTCGAGATCGCTCAAGGCTCATTTGAAGAAGTTGTTATTAAAAAAGATGGATTAACAGCCATCTCTTTCAATGGGAATGTGACTATGAAAGTAAGAGAGGAGAAGGGCGAAGTCATGTGATAGGTAAGAGCATTAAAATAGACAGAAGAAGACACAGCAGCAGAGGCCACAGGGTGTGTGCCTGAAGTTTGATAGATGCACAAATTAATGAGCAAAAAAGCCTCAATAGTCACACCTTGCAGACCAGCATTCACCAAACAAAACAAAACAACGCAGGACTTGACTTGACATCGCCCCATTGTCTTCTTACGTTTGTTAGAGATGATATTAAATCATCCAAACCAACAAACAAACAAACACTTAAAGACATCTCTAAATGTATCCATTTTCCTCTCTCTCTCTCTCTCTCATCCGAATTGCCTCAAACTTCTTACACATAAACAGAACTTTCAACCTCAGCCCCTTCAACCAACAAGCATAAAGGCAGATCCAAATCACTGTCATTCTAGGTCCTCTTCCTTCAATAGCCAGCCTGGTTGAAGAACACATTAAAAACCATGATCCACCACTCTACGTATCCAGTTCTTCTACAGGCATTTAATAGGAAAAAAAAAAACATGAACAACAGGTTGTTTCTGAGTCTGATTCAATTTGGGACGTGGATGACAAATATTCATAACTATTCAAAGAGAAAACCACTAATTCTAGAATTAGACAGAAGAATAACACAAGTAGGAAAACTTGAAATTCCATCCCAATTCACCAAATCTGTCAACGGACTTTAACAACACCATATTTTAGCTTTATAATCGTAGTAATAACACAAGTCTCGGAGTCGTCGTGCTGCCTGCTTTCTTCGTTTTTTTTTTTTTTCTTTTCTTTTTCTCCCTTTTTTTCGTTCCCTGCAACTATCTTCAACTTTCAGATCCTAAATTCAAACCCTTGCTCTCTTGTTACTGCAACTTGGACACTTGTATTGTTTGATATGCTCGGCCTTGGCAGGTGTAATCTTCACACACTTTCCATGGAACCATCTTTCACATACATCACAACAAATCCAGAATTCATCGTTGCCGTAGTTGTCCCCACAAGCCCCACATGTTGCACCCTGTTCATCATCTTCTTCTTCCTCCTCGTCTTCCCCGCTATCTTCATCCTCTTTTGGTGGTGGAGACATCTTCACTCCCTTGCTATGGGACTCCAATTGCCTGGACTGCTAAAAGACAGAAAAGAACAGCAGGATTTATGTATGGCATGAGGTTGCAGCAAAAGAACAGAAGAATAATGTTCAACTAATTATGAACTTCGGAAATTGCTTACCATCTTCCCACCCGATTTGCTTTTGCTGCTATTGTTATGAGTGGCAGACTGTTCTTTTGACTGCTTACCATTTCCACTTACAACTTCAAATACACTTGGGAGATCGTTGATCATCTGGAATAGCCTCTTCCTGCAATGTCCAATCTCAATCTGAGTCATGTCTGTCTAATACCATGACGAAAATACAGTATTGGCATAAAGGAAGTCAAATTTTCAGAAATAAAGACCACAGTTTTCTCAACTAACGATGGAGGAATTTTCTGGATATTTCCCCTACTTTCCTAAACACAACACGTTTCATATACATTATTGCCATTACCATATTGGTGAAAATGACTATGCCAGAAGACATTGAACAGAAATCCAACTAAAATAAAAAATAGCTTATTATTCCACTGAAGCAGATGACCTTAGTAGATGAGAAGGAATCGAAATGAATATGACATAGCAAAAGTGAGATCAAAATCAAAACATGCTTAAAGACGTCACAAGGATCCCGTAAATTTCCTGACATCCGTAGAACATAGAAACTTAATGTGCCTACAAGTTACAACTTTACAATAATTTCGAGAATAAAAACCTTCACAATTTCACAAACCACCAGGTTCAAGCAACAATGACACAGACAGGTCAAAATTTTTCATAGTTACATTACTTCTGTAATGATCATTGGCCTGAACAAGAGGTAAACATTACTTCTGTAATGATCATTAAGCCCCTCAACCTATACTCTAATCATTTTGACTGTATGACTCTGTAAGAATATAAAAAGTTCACCTAAAACTTCATTAAGAAATAATAAATTTCTCCTCTTTGTCAACACTTAAGAGTCTAAAACGAGTGATGCACAGTACAAAAGAATGCCAGGCCTTAATCGTGTAATTCCATTTCTTATTGTAGCATCATTCAGATGTTTTTGAGAAAAAGAGTAAGAAAAGATAAGAAAGAGAAAGAAGTACATGCACACCAAGGAATAGCTTAGATTTGACTTATTCAGAATCCATTAAAGAAAGTTTAGGTAATTTTACCGAAAGAAGCATGGGCATAGGCATAATATGAACAAATTTTAAAATATATGATAGATCACGACAAAGACATGTATGTTGAAGTGCTCATACGTTTCAGTGATTCTCAAGCTAGAACTGGATTTAGTTTAAGCTATTCTCAAAAGAGAGCCAACATAATAAGAAACTTGAAAATCATTTTCATATGCCAAGCCTACCTTTATAGATAACTGGTTAACTATTTATAAATAATGGCTTATGTCACGTGTAATGCATGTCTTAATTAGCTAGTTGAAGTAAGTGACAAAATGAGACAGCACATCAGAGACTACAAGATTTCCTTGAAAAAATCATTGAAGTCATGAAACAAACCCGAGATTATGAGCATCAAAAAGCACATGCAATACAATGCACTAAAGAATTGTTGAAATGATAGCATGGTAAAAAATGGGTATAATTTTTCTCTTTAGAAAATAATAATAAAAGATAAGCAAAGTGGACTGCAAGTTGACTCGATGTTGAAGATACTAACCACTCCTGCAAGAGACCTTCCCAGGATACTAAAGCTTTCTTTTTAATAAGAGGAAAATGCTAGAACTAAACAAATGAATATGCATAAAATTGGTAAAACTAGAGGATAACTGAAGTTAACCAAGTATTTTCAAATCTAAAAATGAGTAAACCCCCATCTTAAACTGGAAGAACCAAGAAGAACAACAGAGCATTCAAGGGCAAGGATACAGTTATCCACACAACTCAAACCACAGACTCCTGTCTACTTGGAGAAAAAGGATAGTTGCATCAACAACAGGGACAAAAACATAAACATAGATCCAACTTGAAACAAACAAAGTTCACACTCAACTCTGAACAAGTAATTTTTTTAAAACGATAAACAAACTTTTCATTAAGAAATGAAAAGATATAAAAAGTTCCAGGAATTCTTCTGAAAGATCATCTGTTGACTGCTAGATTTTGTGAAAGCACACTTCTGGTTATTTTGTTAGAGCCCCCCAACACACAGACACATCCTAAAGTAAAAAGATAAATACGGAGGAGTCACTTGTCATAGAAAATAATTTGAACCTTGTGAGTATGAAGCATTGTTAAAGCCCCTTCACTACACTATTTTTCCAAAAAAAAATGTTCAGACGCGACATGCTAGAACATGAACAACTAGTGAAACCTCATTCTCTATCTCCATTCACAGTTAAATGTAAAATTGTCCTTATTACATTGAAAAGATAAAGATACGTGTGGTGAAGCAGAGCCAAATTTCTTTTATTTCTTTTGAATTTTATATATATATATTTATAAAAGTAAAAAAGACAGCAGCATTAATGCTGAAAAATGTCTTATAAGAATTCATAATGGTCACAAAAGTACTGTTGCAAACCTTTCATTCTTCCCAAATCCAAAACGAGCACCAAAATAGAATGCAACAGCAAGCAACCATGAATCACTGTGAACTGCAACCAGCGATAACCAATCTTTCTCCTGCATCCCATCCCTTGCAAAGTTTATGCCTAATGCTGGTTCCGGGAGCTCAGGGGGCACCTCCTCCACAGGCAAGTTAACTTCCCACGTTTCATTTGGAAGTCCATAGAGACACAGGTTCTCCTTCTCTATAAGCATGACAAGAATTGTCTCGGACAAATATAAGAAATTCTTTCTTTAATCCTCAATACATCTCAAATTAAACTCAAGAAAACTTGTATTACTCTATCAGATATTTTCAGCTACAAAGTAACAATTAAAAGAAAAAAAAGGTAATGTGATCAAGGACAGGATAGTCAGCCAACATGACGTCCCTCAAGATGCCAATCAAGGTTAACCTCCATATTTAGAACTGAGGGTGTCCAGAAAGTCAATATTGGAGGACCACTTTCAACTGCCCGTCCATGTCATATAGTGAAATCATCTCATTCATTCAGTAGAAGAATTAGGGTGACTAAGTAGAAGTTGAACATAACATGATTTAAAAATTGTAAGATTTTAATTGGAAGAGGTTGTCACCGTAATAATAACTGTAATATAAAAATGATAAATAATAAAAAAAACGTAACATTAGATATCAAGTTAAGGTTGATGCAGTATTCCACTCATTTAAAGAACTCATTACCTCAGGATATAAAATATTAGCATTACAAGAAGAAATTATATTTAAATTTATATGTAAATCTAACACAACTTCTAAAAACTAAGAAATAAGCCAACCATCCCACCAAAAATGAATAAAATCTTCATATCAAGATAAAAATTGCATAATACGTGCGCATGGTAGAAGATAGAATCTAGGAGATGGATTACCCTCCACTACATTTCAGGTGAGGGGGAAAAACATGACCTTCAAATCAATACAATTATATCATCGAACTTCATTCTCAATGAAGGGAAAGAGAAAGTTAACAATTAACAAAGCAGGTGGTTGGATTAAATGGTTGAAGAGAAAGTTACACTTTGTTAAAAAAAGATTTATTTAGTTCTCATAAATAAGCAAACATGAAAGAAGATGAACAGAAAGAAATTATCAGATTTAACAAATCTATAACTATAAACATCATAATGAATGTATGCAAAATAGGTCAACAGAAAAGGCAGAAGTAAAAGAATCCTATCCACCTCTTCAGAACTAGCCTTAAGTACATATAGTCGCAAACAATGAAACCTGTCCATCAATATAATAAATAAAACGAGAAAATGATAATTACATAGAGAGCTCCCCACACGGTACATTTTCTAAAGATATCTTTTGAATCAGGCAGATCATGGATGTGGACAGAAAAGGAGGATCAAAGAAAAAGGAGAACAAGTTTACATCAAATGCATTCATATAATAAGTTTTAGATAAAAAGAACTTTGGGAGGGAAGAAATAGCAAAAAGAAGGGAAAATAAGAAGAAAAGATTCCAAAACGACAATACCCAAAGCACACATCCAATTCAGTCATGGGAATCGTAGTTTCAAATTTGTGTATGTCATTATCCAGAATGTTACTTATAGAGGTGCAGAAACCAAAGGAACATAACTAAAAGTTAAAACAACCCGTGTAATGCAATAACAAAGTAAAAAACAACCAGTTAAATAGATAGACATATATGCAATATGTTTCACTCTCCAACCTCCCATTTATGAGATTCAAAATTTGCGACTGTGCGTTGACCCCGCACCAGCTTATTCACTTGTTATTGACTATCCACCGTAATCAAATTTAGCCAGTTACTCGAACCATTTATTCTGTTATGCTCAGCTCTACCCTAAATATCTCCAGTTCTACCACAACCCAGGACCCCAAATACTTCCAAACAGCTGAATTTAGCTATGAAGTTAGGAGAAAACAATCGTCGGGCACATCCCACGCACGGAAGAAATATTATTCAGATAGACTTGCAACATTAAGCCGAAAAAAAAACACCAGTTCGATGTAGAGAGCTAGCTAGCAAATAACAACGTATTAAAAACATTAAAAAAAATAAAATAAAACAATTCAGTAGCAAAGCTAAAGTAAGACAGTTTTAAAGAGACACGCCTAGAATACTTCATCAAAATGAAAAAACGAACTCAACCCAATGAACAAATGGAATTCAAGACCACGAACAAGCGTAAGAACTAGAAAACAGCGAACGATACATTTCTGAACACTAATTAAGACAGACATCAAGAGAACGATAGAAGAGAAAGAAAACCCACCAGGATCGCACTGCTGGTAAAACTTCTCAACATCTGCAAAAACTCAAATAAAAATGAAAAAAAAAAAAAAAAGATTAAAGTGCTGGAATTCGTACAGAAACAACAACACAGTTAGCCAACATCTAACACGAACAACACAAACAGAGTAAAGATGATGAGCGGAAGCAGGAAGAAGAAAAAAGATGAAGAGACCCGCGGTGAGGGCTTTGATCAAGCCGGCACGTCTGCCTTTAAAGTCGCTGTAGACCTCATCCACTGTACGGGGTATTGGGTGCGGCATTCCCTCCATTATCTGTCTAAAACGAGCCGCAAACTGAGAGAATTAGGGATTTCAGTATGGATTCAGCTGATGAAACTGCAAATTTCTTCAGAAGAAGAGAGGGAATTGAGCTATGTAACGAGTAGTTGAAGCAAAGAAGAAGAAAAATTGAACGGACACTTTTAGGGTTTGTTGGTTTTTCTATGTAATAATTCGACAAAGAAGGAGGGAGAATGTCAGTTTATTTTCAATTTACCGACGGATACAGCCGGTAGTAATTTGATGGCTAATGTTTTGCTATTCGCTAAATGCCAGGCCATTAAAATATTTTTTAATATTTCCTTTTTTTTCTTTTTCTTTTTCTTTTTCTTTTTTCTTTTTCTTTTTTTCCTCCTCTATTTAAAATAATTCTCAACCTTCTTCTTTTAGTACAAAATATTCCTCAAGCTTCCAAGTTCTACTCTTAATTCACAATTTTTAATAAATTAATAAATATTTTGTCTAATCAAATATTTTTAAATTTTCTAACATTTCAATCAACCTTAACTTTTTTCTTTTTTTATAAAAAAAATCAAAATGTTCTTAAATATTCAAAAAATAATAAAAAATATTATTACGTTAATTTTAAATGAAAACCATTAATATTTTGTTAAAAGACATTTAAAAAGTATTTAAAAAATATGTTTTTCACTTTAAAAGTTTCATTAAAAAATAATCATAGGTTTTTAAAAATACCATGGATACTTTTAAATTTTTATGCATGAAACCATTTATACATTAATTTTTCAGTTTAACACTCTTTTTTTTTTTCTTATATATTATATTAAATAAAAATGAAAAACACTCTCATTTATTATTAACATTAAATTAGATATCTGAGCATTGAGGATTCTTACATTTGTATTTTGTAAATCTAGAAAATGAGAGTATTTATTTTTTGTTTAAAGTTTTAATATTTAAAATTGAGAAAAGAAAGAAATAAGAACAAATTTAGAGATCGAAGAAGGAGAGAATGAGATTAAAAAGGTATTTAATAAACGAGAAAAAAAATAATAAATAAAAAGTCGAAAGGGCGTTAAATGCTATTTTTAAAAATTTATTGAAATGTATTTAAAAGTCGACGAAGTTTCTTGAACAAAAATTCAATTCAAAATCGAATAAAATTGGATCCAAAACCGAAAAAACGCGTAAGTTGATATAGAAGAAGAAAACGAAGAAGTTGGCACATGTTCTAGTGTTGGAAATAATGTTTAAGTTGTGGCTTTCTCCTAGTCTCTAGCTTAGTGGTATATTCTATATAGAAAAGATATGCTGGTCTGTTGTGATTAAGCCTACAGTCTTGGCTTTTAGTTAGGCTAATTTATATTTAGACGTAATTCCAACCCCAACATATTTCTATTTATATTGATATCTTTGTTTTCTTTTATTTAGAAGTTAGGGAATAAGTTTGTGATATCTATTAATTGAAGAAAGAAATGAAGAGTATGGAAATCTCTCTTTAATAGACGCGTTTTAAAACGGTAAGGGTAATGGTGATACGTAATGGGTCAAATCGAGCAATATCTGTCAGTGGTGGGCTTAGATAGTTACAGAGCGCGTGTCACGGTTATCCTTAGTGTGTGTTAGATGTCACTGTCAATCTTGTTCAAACCATGTTTCTAATGATCGGAATGTCATTTTCAAATTTCAACACTTTCATGTGTAACTAGGTTCTTACTCTTTCTATCGAGGGTTCAAAATTATGTCTACACTTTCCATTAGCTAAAATATCACAAAATATACTAATGTGGATGTGACTAATTGCCAATTATTCCCACTCGAGTTATAAGCCACTAAAGTTGTGGTTGTTTCTTATTAACTTTTAGCTTGTAACATTGTTTTTTTTTAAAATCGTTCTCAATACATTTTCTCGTTCACGTTTTCTAAAACATTTTTCTCAAACGTGATTCGAGCCCAATCATACATCAAGGATTGTCGGCAAACTTCAACTTTTGCACGACTAACTTATTTATTAGATTAGAATATAATGTATGCAAGTCAACCTCGTTGAGAATCGTTTGAGTTTTACATCAACTAAATAAAAGAAAAAAATATAAGTATGCAGGTAAGTGACACTATCTCTATTAGTATAAAACATCGCAAGAGTGTTATGGTATTTGATGTTGATGTACAATTTTATTTAGTAAAACTCACAATAATTCCGCAGAACTATATAATATGCGGAATAGAATCATAAATTAAATACGAGACTAATACGAACTCAATGTTTTTAAAACTTTAACCCCTCTGCTATTAGCAAGAAATAAAAAATAGACATTAGTGGTTATATTATTTTGAATTTCAATGTAATTTTATAAACTTTTCACTAAAAGTTTTATTTACCCTTTTTGTAGTGGGTGAGAAAAAAATTACGTATACATATTATTAGCCAGTATTTATTTATTAAAACTCATAAAAAAAAATATAATCGTTAAAATTTTATTTCATCCGAATAAATTCGACCTCACATTTATTATACTAAAAAATATTAAATATTGTAATTTTACAAAAAAAAAAGGAAAAATACAGTAGAGAATGTCAGGATGATGTGTGGCTGATTTAGCGACTGCCATACCATCGTCTTCCCGCGATCACCTAAAACCGAATGAAAGACCACAGAGAAACAGCGACTGTATCTGTGTAAGCGGAGAAGTTCAGCCGGAGCAGTGGCGGAGCTCAGCCGGGGAAAGTTGCCGTCAATATGTGAATCGCAGGGACCGCGACGAATTCTATTGCAAAGTGAAAGTCTCTGTTGTCATGGAGGTCTTTTCTTCAACTTGAATTTATGGAGGTCGTCGGCTCAGTGAAATTGTTTTCATCGTCACCAACGAACATAGTTTCAGGCTTGTGTTACTCTCCCTCCTCTTATACTTCCTTGTTTTCTCCCAAAAAGAAGAAGAAGAAGAAGAAGAATTTCCTTGTAGTTTCCAAAAGCAAAAAGCAGCCACAAAGTCCATCGGTGATTATGCTTCCAACTATTTTTCTTTCTTTGCTCCAATTCAGGCTTACTTGTGTTGAAAAGTAGCTAGGTCTTCTGCTTTGCCTGACCACAGTATTTGTAGTTTGTACATTCATTATTCACTTGGCGGTAACTGATAATCTGCGGTCTAAGTTTCTGATATTATTTTATTAAACACAGTGCTCCGCCATTTTTGTGGATAGCCATTTGTTGGAGACCGTAGGGGTACACTAGTTATGCGTGAAAATCCGGTTCTGTCAACCGATAGATTAATAATTTTGTGCAAAACCTAACTGGCTTTTAGCTGCAGGGTGATTCTGATCCTCCGAGAATTACGTCAAATCTGAAGCAGAATTTGCAGTTTCTGAAATTATGGAAGGTATGTCTGGTGGTTCTGCTGCAACATTTTCAACCAATTCGAGTGTTTATAGTGCTCTCTCATATTACAAAGATCTTTAGGATTTCCAAAAGCGAAAATCTAGCGCACCCAAGCCTGCTACTAGTTACCGGAAGAAGAAGGTAGAGAAGGAGGACCTTCCTGGAGATACGGAGCTTTATCGTGATCCCACATTGACTCTTTACTAGTAAATCTCTTTTTAAGAAATTTGTTTCATAACATTTTGCGTTTCAACCATGACATAATTGGAAAGTTGCTGGGACGAGTGCTGCTCTTAATGTCTTTTATTTACCTGACAGTACCAACCAGGGCATAGACAATACAGTTCCTGTCTTGCTGGTTGATGGTTATAATGTGTGTGGCTATTGGGTGAAGCTTAAGAAGCATTTTATGAACGGGAGACTTGATGTAGCCCGCCAAAAGCTAATTGACGAGCTTATAACATTCAGTATGCTGAGAGGTTTGCAGCTTGCCCCTTCTTTTCTTCCTAAAAAACGAGTCCTGATCCTTGGGTTATAGACTTGTTGGTTTATGGTGTAGATTTTCCTTAATGTTTATCGATTTTTATGGGATACTTCTTTATTTTTTTTGTTGCCATTGTCCTCGATTACATACTTGAAACCTTTACAGAGGTGAAAGTGGTAGTTGTATTTGATGCGATGCTGTCTGGACTCCCGACACACAAGGAAGACTTTGCTGGGTAATTCTATGATCTAAAATGTAGCCTCGTTAATCTATATAATCTTATGTTTGCTGCTAATATTTTGTCGGTAGATGTGCATTTGGGATTTGGTGTTCCTGTGGTTTCTATTTGTAAGCTCAATGACCATGAAAATAATTTAATAAAATTGGGAGACAATGAATTAGTTGCATAAGAAAAAGGGATATCTGCATGGAAGATATAGTTCGTTTAGATGGTTTATGAAACGTAAGTCAGGTCTTCTGCAGCATTAAACCAAGTTCAGCTTGAAGAAAGGGTGAAATAGCTCCTATCTTCTTGCTCAGGCCATTTTTCCTAAAAACTTTCCGTTTATGCACGACGGAAAAAGATGGTTCATATTTATTTAGTATGTTAAGTGTAACTATGTATAGATTATTTCAGACAAGTTAGAACTCAATACCTTAAAAAACGACTGCAAAAATAAAAAAAAAAAAAAAAAATAATAATAATAATAATAATTTAGAAAAAAAAAAATTGTTTTGTCTTGATGTTTTCATAGCCCTTCTCAGTTCCAAGTGCAGGAAATTTAATCAAGAAACACTTTCAGTTTAAAACTTTAGACCTCTTGATGACCACGGGGATGAGGATATGCCACACCAAGGGCAATGAAAATTGTCATGGAATGTGATACTCACGGTCTTATATCAATGGGGCTTGAAGTCTTTTTGGGGGACTCCTTGGTGGGCAATCCCAGTCTCCTATTGGGGAAAATCCTACTGAGGGCTTATCTAATGGTTTGCATAATCACGGAAACTTTCAACTCATGAAAGAAATGCATTTTCAACGTCTTACTTTTACTTTATATTAGGTATAAAATTGAATTTTTTTATTGCTGATTGTTTTGAGTTTGATATTTCAACTCTGCTTAATCTAAAAGAATAAATAATTTTCCTTATCATATTTAATTAACAAACATAACTTTGAGGATGCTCTCCGATGTGTATTGTTAATGGTTTCCCTTGGAAAACAAGCACTTATTGTGAGAATGAATTATGCTTCAGGTCCTTATTTCCTGACGTGACTTTTTACTCTGCTTAGCAGCCAAATTGTTCGATAGAAGAGAGATGAGTCTATTTATTCGCTCACATAAGGACTTAAAATTGTATAATCGT